CACTGGCCCTGCTGGGAGGCGGGGAGGGCGCCCGAGGGCCAGCGCTGACCACAGCCCTGATTCCGCGGGCGGGACGCTTGCAGACCGGGCTGGTCTGCTGGGAGGGGCAGGCCGAGTGCCTGCGGGTGATGATTAGGTCCTCGCACAAACAAGCAAGCTTTGGAGGCAAGCAGCCTCCTGACCTTTTGAGGTTGGGCGAGGTTCCAGCAAGAGCCCTGGGACTGAACCCCACAGAGGGGTCAGGCGGCTGACAGGACCCCCCTCAGCCTGAAAGCCTCCTCCCCGAGATGCTGTGACTGCAGGCATGGGCTGGAGTGTTGTTGTTCTTGTGTTTTTTTTCTCTCTCCCCCCGACCTCCTCCGGCTGGACCTCAGTTTCCATCATTGTTAAGTGAGGCGTGTAGACCGTATTTTCTCCTGCCCACCCAGCTCTGATGGCCTATGGACCTCCTGGCAGGAGCTTTGGGTCCAGTCCTGTGTGAGGGAAATGGGACCAGAGAGGCACAGAGCAGACACAGGAACCTACAGCATCTTCTGATGGGAGCACAAAGCCCACTAACACTTCCCCTCACACAGACACACACACACCAGGCAAGATCAGCCAGGACCACTCGCACAAGCAGTCGACTACACTCTTGTCCGCAACACACCTGTGGTCAGGGTTCAGGCTGAGGGACCACCACAGCGCGGTCCTTAACACACAGGCACTGCAAAAGGACCCCTGGGGTGGCTCAGTGGTTGAGTGTGGACCTATGAACTAGGAGGTCATGGTTCGAATATTGACCTGGGCACATGCCCAGGTTGCAGGCTCGATCCCCAATAGAGGACGTGTAGAAGGCAGCCCACCAGCGATTCTCTGTCATTGATGTTTCTCTCTCTCTCTACCTCTCCCTTCCTCTTGGGAGTCAATAAAAATATATTTAAACAACAAACAAACAAACCAAACAGAAGGACCCTGGACTGAGATCTAGAGAGGAAGGGGTTTCTGGAAATGAATACCCTTCCCTGCACCTGCACTGAGGTACTCCCCTGCCCAAGCTCCATCCCTGTCTTCTCCTTCCTTCCCCATAATGTCTTGTCCAGACAGAGGCTTGAGGTGGCCACCCAGGACAGGGGCACTCTGGCCTATCCTGACTCTCTCTTTCCTTCCCCTCCCAGCAGGTCAGCCCCCAGAGGACATCAGCTATAGTCCGCAGGATCCCAATGGCAGCAAAGCCACTGACTGAGGTGGAGACAGCCATTGACACATTAGCCACTGCCTTCTGCACCTTTGCAAAGCGCGAGGGCCAGAAGGGCAGCTTCAACACCGATGACTTTAAAGAAATGGCCACTCAGCAGTTCCCTCACCTGGTCAAGGTAGGTAGGGGTCTCTGGGCCTGAGGTTTTGGCAGATAGTGACTGTGAGACTCTGTATATGTGACACGACATTGCTGGGCACAATCATGTGACCACAGGTGTGTTGTGGACAAGAGTGTAGTCGACTGCTTGTGTGAGTGGTCCTGGCTGATCTTGCCTGGTGTGTGTGTGTGACTAGGCAACACTGTGTCTGTGTGAGGGGAAGTGTTAGTGGGCTTTGTGCTCCCGTCAGAAGATGCTGTAGGTTCCTGTGTCTGCTCTGTGCCTCTCTGGTCCCATTTCCCTCACACAGGACTGGACCCAAAGCTCCTGCCAGGAGGTCCATAGACCATCAGAGCTGGTGGCCAGTAGAAAATACGGTCCACACGCCTCACTTAACAATGATGGAAACTGAGGCCCAGCTGTGGGGAGGGGTTTAGAAAAAACACAACAACAACAACAAAAACAAAAAACCCCACAGTCCAATTCATGTACCCATAGGCTCGCAGCAACTGTGCTTCCTGCCCACCCTCTCTGGGAATCCCCTCTATCATGTGCCTGACAAGGTCATTCCTTCTTTCCTCACTGGACAGAAGAAGGATTTATTTTATTTTATTTTTTTAAAATATATTTTATTGATTTTTTACAGAGAGGAAGGGAGAAGGATAGAGAGTTAGAAACATCAATGAGAGAGAAGCATCGATCAGCTGCCTCTTGCGCATCCCCTACTGGGGATGTGCCCGCAACCAAGGTACATGCCCTTGACCGGAATCGAACCTGGGATCCTTGAGTCCGCAGGCTGAAGCTCTATCCACTGAGCCAAACCGGTTAGGGCCAGAAGAGGGATTTAAATGTCATTGCCACTGGGTTGGTACATCATCCCCAGGCTGCTAACAGTTTCTTTCTGAAAAGTCACGGGCACATAAAAGTGTGTGAAGATGGGTTTAAAAGCAAGCAAACTGGTCTTTGAAACTCATAGTCTATCATTTGCAAAATCCCCTCCATCAGTGGTCGGCAAACTGCCGCTCGCGAGCTACATGCCGCTCTTTGGCCCCTTGAGTGTGGCTCTTCCACAAAATACCGACTTC